TTCAATAAAACGGCAAGGGACGAGTGCACACTCCACTGACGGAGCAGAACCAGCAAAACAGGAAGAATTATTCAAGCACTGCAGAGACGAGCTGCTCACTGCACACAATGAGGACGGAAATTCATTACGAACGGCGTTTTTAACAATGACTGGACTTCCTACTGAGACGTCATCCACAGAATGAGCTTGTGGAAAAAAATATGCATTCATATATTGCATTCAAAATGGAATAGTTATAGAAAATCTTTATAAAGGGTACAAAATACACAGCAAACAAAGTTTTTGAGTATGAAAGTATGAATTAGTATGACGTATGAATGGAATCAAAATGCAAAAACAAGGGTTTAAATATCAATATTAGTTTATAATCCAATAGTAACTGATATGCTAAAAAAATTAATAAAAATTATTACATTTTTAGACTGACCACAATTAAGGTAAACAAAATGTAAAAACAGGCAGTTATATATATATTATTTTCAAAATATATACTGTATGTGTGGGTATTTATATATACACAGTACACACACATATATTATGTAAACAAAAACTTTTATTTTGGATGCAATTAATCGTGATTAATCATTTGACAGCACTAATATTTATCTATATGCTACAAAAAATTAAACAAAAAGTGCATTATTAAATTATTAGATTAACCTTAAGCGAACGCTTGACTTCGGTTAAGGTAACAAAAATATAAAAATAGGCAGTTCAACATCAATATTGGCTAATATTGATCCAAAAAGTGTTAAATTATTAATTACCTTAACCGTCATCAAGAATTCATTTAAAGTTCATCAAAAGGTAAAAACTGGCAGTTAAATATCAATATTGGCTAATATATATCCAATACTAATTGATATACTACAAAAAAATAGATGAAATTATAAGATTAACTTAAATGAATGCTAGATGATGGTTAATTAAAATATAAAAATAGGCAGTTAAATATCAATATTAGCTTATACACTGAACAAAATTATAAACGCAACACTTTTGTTTTTGCCCCCATTTTTCATGAGCTGAACTCAAAGATCTAAGACTTTTTCTATGTACACAAAAGGCCTATCTCTCTCAAATATTGTTCACAAATCTGTCTAAATCTGTGTTAGTGAGCACTTCTCCTTTGCCGAGATAATCCATCCACCTCACAGGTGTGGCATATCAAGATGCTGATTAGACAGCATGATTATTGCACAGGTGTGCCTTAGGCTGGCCACAATAAAAGGCCACTCTAAAATGTGCAGTTTTACTGTATTGGGGGGTCCGGGGTGGTCCGAAAACCAGTCAGTATCTGGTGTGACCACCATTTGCCTCACGCAGTGCAACACATCTCCTTCGCATAGAGTTGATCAGATTGTTGATTGTGGCCTGTGGAATGTTGCTGGATATTGGCAGGAACTGGAACACGCTGTCGTATACGCCGATCCAGAGCATCCCAAACATGCTCAATGGGTGACATGTCCGGTGAGTATGCTGGCCATGCAAGAACTGGGATGTTTTCAGCTTCCAGGAATTGTGTACAGATCCTTGCAACATGGGGCCGTGCATTATCATGCTGCAACATGAGGTGATGGTCGTGGATGAATGGCACAACAATGGGCCTCAGAATCTCATCACGGTATCTCTGTGCATTCAAAATGCCATCAATAAAATACACCTGTGTTCGTTGTACATAACATACGCCTACCCATACCATAACCCCACAGCCACCATGGGCCACTCGATCCACCACGTTGGCATCAGCAAACCGCTCACCCACACGACGCCATACACGCTGTCTGCCATCTGCCCAGTACAGTGAAAACCGGGATTCATCCGTGAAGAGAACACATCTCCAAAGTACCAGACGCCATCGAATGTGAGCATTTGCCCACT